TTTGTCCCTCAGGGAACCCAAAAGAGGGAGATTTTTCCGGGGGAAGAACCGACTGGCGGAGTTTTCCCGTCGCCGGAAAAAGGGATGGAAACCCCGCGGGCTCGGAAAACCGGCTCGAGGAAGAGCCTGAGCTCAACTAATCCCGGCTTAAAACGAGTCCGAAACCCGAGTTTAGGCCCGACCTGTGAGGTCTGAGGGAAAAACGGGAGCGGGAGGAGTGGGCGGGAAGCGGGAATTCCTCCCGGAATTTCTGCCGGAAAAGGGAACGAACCGGAGCAGCTCCGAGGGGTTTGCGGTAATTAAAGGGCTCCTTTTCATTCGTTAATTGATTGATGGATTGATTAATGAAATTAAAATTTTAATGCCAAAATTAATTTGTAAATTTAGACATGAACAATTTACGAAACTTATTAATTCGTATAATTAATATTTTAATAATTAAATGTATAAATATAATGGAATTATGATAAACAATTATATAATTAGATTATGAAAATATATTTATAATAAATACAATTACATAAATATATATTATATATTATATATTATATATTATATATTATGTATTATATAAGTTTATGTAACTTAATGATTAAAAACTATAACTATTAATTTATAATAAAATTAATTTAAAACAACATTAATAAATATAATAAAATTAATTTATAATTGATTTTTGATTCATTAATTAATTAAAACCGCATTAAGCTTCGTCTAAAATTAGCTGGGAATCTCTCCAGGCTACAGCTGCCGGCCTTCGATCCATCGGTTTTTGCGGGAGCTATCCCGATTTTTCTGTGCTCCCAGGGAGGTCGGGGAAGGGCGGCATTCCCGAGGTTGGGAAGGACCTTCCCTGCCTGAGCGTTTGGGGGGTGCCGGGGAGGGAAAAATTCCTTTATCCCGGCGGTTGGAATTGACCCCCCGGAGCTGCTCCGTGCTGCCGGAGGGAGGGAGGGAGGGGCTCCCATCCCGCTTTCATTCCCGGTTTTTGAGGGAAAAACCAACAAAAACCCCCGGGGGTTGGATCAGATGCCAGCAGGGAGGGGGAATTCCCACTTGGCTGATCCAAGGGAAACGGAATCCAGGCAGATCCAGCCCCTTTTAACCCTTTCCCCGCCATCCTTCTGGGAATCCTCCCGGGATCCCGGAGAGGGCGGATCCACCGGGACTTTTGGGGCATTTCTGTGACTTTTCTTTCACTGTGGGTCAGTTTTTCCTTCCCTCTGGAAGTTCTGGTCCTTCCAAGATTTATTTTCGGGAATCTCGTTGCTCTCCGTCTTTCCCTCGCCTTCTGCAATTCCCTTGGAATTCCGCCGTTGGACAGTCTGGCCTTTCCTGTGACCGACCCAGCCGGACGTTTTCCAACAGAAATCCTTTTTTTCCCTGCGGGAATTATCCCGGATTGTCCCGGTTTTCCTCATCCGGGTCCCGCCGGCAGCTTTAGGGATCACCCCCGGCGTGTCGTCGTCGTCACACTTCCAAGAAGCCATTCCCGATTTTTATCCCAAGCTCAAATCCTGGTGGGAGTAGGTGACCTTCAGGTCAGGAAAAAGCGGGAGAAGCCGGCTCCGTTTCGCGGGAAAACTGGGAATTTTTTCCAGCTCTTTGACGGGAAGGGGCCAACCCGCCCTCAGGTGGTTCCCCCCCTCATCCTGGGAAACGCCTTTATTCCCAAAAATCGAGTTTTGTGGAGCTTCCCGGGAATCTCTGCCGGATCGTTGGACGACTCCATGGATCATGGAATCGCTGGGGTCGGAAAAAAACTCCGGGATCACCAAATCCAAGCGTTCCCCCGGCGCTGCCGAGGCCACCACGGATCCATGTCCCCCGCTGCCGTATCCATAGGGATTTGAAATCCCTCCAGGAACAGGAATTCCGACCCTGCCAGGGCCGGATGACCCTTTCCATGAAGGAATTTATTCCCAATATCCAACCTAAACCTCTCTCCCGGTGCCGTTTCCTCTCGTCCCGGTGCGGGAGGACACTCGGATCCTTCCTGGAGCGATGCAGGATGGACATCTGGGAATGCCGGGCGGGTGGTATCCCGGGAATTGGTACTTTTCAGGAATACAGGGAGGTTCCGGAAGCATCGGCGCTGACGGGAGTTTGGGACGTGAGGAAAAGCTTCTCCTGGGTGGTGGGACAACTCTGGAGCCCCAGGCGTGGGATCCATGGATTCTGGATTCCCTCTGGATTGCTGGATCCGGAGGGGAGCCGTGAGAACGAGCCGGAGGCGGAGGGAAAACACCTTGGAAAAATTCCCATCCGGGAATGGGGATGAAAGGAGTGGGGACGTGGGGGTGGCGCTGGAAACGTGGATAAGGACGGAAAATCCGGGATGCTGGAGAGGTTTTGAAATCCAGGCTGACAGAGGATGAGGCAAAGCCGAAGCCGGGTGAAATCCAGGTGGGATTTGGGCCTGGAATTCCAGCCGGGAGAGTGATTGGGGAATGGAAGCCCAGGGAAGCGACGGGATGCCAGCGGGGTTTGGCCAAACGGGAATTCAGGGATGGTGGTGCTGGAATTTGGGATTAATGGTGTGTCCCGGCCATCCCATCCCATCCCATCCCATC